GTCTCCCTCACCTATCACCATAATCCTGTCTCCCTCCCCCATCACCATAGTCCTGTCTCCCTCCCCCATCACCATACCCCTGTCTCCCTTCCCATCACAATGCCCCTGTCTCCCTCCCCCATCACCATACCTCTGTCTCCCTCCCCCATCACCATACCCCTGTCTCCCTCCCCCATCACCATACTTCTGTTTCTCTCCCCAACATTGTTTTCCTCCCCCATCACCATACCCCAGTCTCCCTACCCCATCACCATACCCCTGTCTCCCTCCCCATCACCATACCCCTGTCTCCCTCCCCCATCACCATACCCCTGTCTTCCTCCACCATCATCATAACCCTGTCTCCCTCCCCCATCACCATACCCCTGTCTCCCTCCCCCATCACCTTACCCCTGTCTCCCTCCCCCATCACCATACTCCAGTCTCCCTTCCTTATACTCCTTCCCCTCTGTACTCTATACACTGTACTCTTGTCTCCTTTCCTCAAACTGTCTTCAGCCCAATACTCCTCTTTCCCATCATACTTCACCCCTCCCCTCCCCCCCCCAATACCTTTCAAGCTTACCAGAACTCTTCTCTTTTCCTCCTGCAATGTTTCCTCTCAAACATCCCCATACTAAATATTGCTAATATTCCCTGATTCAACAGGTTAACATGTGCAGCTTTCTCCTGAAGATATTTTTTAAATTTGTAAACAGAGATGAAACTTGCAGGGAATTGGTATATTTACACCTTAATGCAATAATTATGTATTGCCGTCTGTCTAACTAAAGCTGACACAGCCTGTCGGTCGTGTTAGTAGGAATATTTCCATTCTGTCACCAGCAAAGTAATGAAACATTAAGCTGTGATAGAGCTTCCTTTGCTAAATGTAGCTCAGTCTGGTATCCTCATACTCAAGTTGACGTTAAAATCAATACTCTGGCTATATACCAATCTATTGATATTTTTTACGGAAATACCCTGAGCACTCTACAATATCCTGGCTTATATGCATCCCTGTGACTGTTGAAATACCACCCACCTGTTGCTTGATTGGATTTGCTTTTTTTCCTATAACCTTATGAAAGCTTTCCTGAATTTTAAAAAAGGTAAAGAAAGATGACATTTATAAATGGTAAAGAAAGATGACATTTATGAATGGTAAAGAAAGATGATATTTATGAATGGTAAAGAAAGATGACATTTATGAATGGTAAAGAAAGATGACATTTATGAATGGTAAAGAAAGATGACATTTATAAATGGTAAAGAAAGATGACATTTATAAATGGTAAAGAAAGATGTGGGATTGAGTTCCAACTTTACTGTCAAATAATAGGTAACACTTGTTACAGTTACCTACTCCTCACCATAGCTACCATCTGCATCATGGAAAACAACTTCTTAGTAAGATTTCATTAAAGGTAGAAAAAATAACTGTTCTCTGTGCTGAAAGTTTTTGTAGCCTGATAACCATTAAGGCTGTGAGTCTCTTGTTATAGAAAACTTACAAAGTTATCTCCCTTTTTTCATGATTTGAAGCAGCTTTTGAAGACACTGACATGTATGTGTAAGTACATGTAGTTTGTAAGGCCATTGAACTAAAATAGATCAGAACACCATTAGAGTTTTGTTTGAAATTACATGAAAAATTAAATAATTAACTTGAAGTGTAATTATAATTTTCAAATTACTGACAAGATTGCACATTTTGTCTTACATGAGTTGCATTCAAGCATGAACGTTGCAGACTCAAAAAATATTTACAGGAGCTCTATGAAAATGATCTTAGCTGTTGAACTTTAAGGAATATCAAAATCGGTTGATATCAGAGATTATATTTACATACCTTTTTTTCAGTTGGTACGTTTTCAGTTTTAAAAAAACTTCTCTGATTACTCTTTGGGGAGGAACTTTAACATGACCATATATATAGGACTCCTGCTGCTTTACATTTTCACAAAAGTTTCAAGATTTGATAAGAAAGCTTACAAACTTGATTTTTTAATCGAAATGTATACTTTTCAGAATTAAAGAGAAATTGACAACTTAATTGGAAGACTCTTGTGAAGATCCAAGTGATGTGGCTCAAATTTGGGTATATCAGAATCTTCATATATAAACACAATACACATGGATCATCTCATGTTTTGTAAATGTGTCTTTTGCCAAGATACTTGATCAAAATTGAACCAACATGAAATTTGAAAATTGTCATTACAATCTCTAATCAGCAGAAAACTTCAGTATGTGTCTCATTTAGACAATATGGTTAGGAACAGGTGAGCAATGCAGGCCCTATATACACCTTGTTTTCACTCTTTGAAGAAATAATTAGAATATACTTTTCTGTAATTTTGAAACACCCCAGGAAAGGCAGCAACTAATATCATATGTTTAGATACACTGTACAATACAAAACAGGATACTGAAAAATAATATTCATGAAGTTATTTATGGACAGTACTACTGTAGTTTACCAATATCAAGTTGAAAGTGAAGTCTCCCAAATCCTGTAAAGCTGTACAACAATGTTACAACCAGATCCTTACATATGCATAGACATGAAGCGGTGCCAGTGCAGCACCATACGGGGTATTGATTTCCCACTCTATACCATCCACGTCAAATCCTATAAATTAGAGGTGAATTAGTGTACAATTTTGGTGTGTTGTGTCAGTATATCAGAAACACAAAGAGGACTAAATATTAAAGACTTTGTATACGTAACAGAGGTCAGTATTCATTTCATTGCCTTTGTGCTAGTATCTGAAGCTGGGATATTTCTGGCTTACAAGTCTGCCACTTGAACAATCAAGCCCAAGATAACCTGATTCAGAGTTGCACTGATGTGACCTGAAAATTTATCACACTTACAGAGATTCAGAGATCATGGAAAAATAACTCTTCATTTCTGCCACTTTGTTACAATCAATTTTAGGTCATCTGACCCGAATAGTCATGATGACCTATGGCCATTGTGCTTCATCCATCGTCATCCACTGTGTGCCATCCACAGTGCGTAAACATTTGACATTTAAAACTGCTTCTAAAGTTTCAACAGTGGGATTGAGCTCAAACTTGCAAGAAAAAATCCTGAGATGATCTTTACCAAATGTTATTTTTCAGGTATGTCTGAAATCCACGATGGCTGCCATATTGAAAAATATATTTTAAAATTCTTCTCCAGTTCTACTGGTGCCAATGAGCTAGAAATGGTGGGAATGTTAAGGAAAGGTAGTCAACAAAGTGTTAATTTTCAGCCTTGTGAAAATTTTGACATGGCAGCCATGAAGGCCATTTTGTAACTATAACTGTAAACTTCATTTATTTTACAACAACTGCGAAACAAGTTATTGTGTCACCTGCAGAGCTGGCAGACACTTAGGGATCACTTTGTCCGTGGTCACGCATCGGCGTTGGCGGTGTCCGTACGAAAATTTTCCGGACATTTTTCAGATATACTTTAAGTTATCAAAATGAAATTTAGTATATGGCTTCTTGTTGAAAGGGTACAGATTCAGTTCGATTTCTGGCTGTCTGTAACACTTCTTGGCAGAGTTATGCCCCTTTGAACTTAGAAAATTCTCTGGGAATATTGTTTTAGAATTTTTTGGGTTATCCTTTGAGTTATTGATATTAAATTTGGTATATGGCTTCTTGTTGGAAGGGTACAGATTGGTTTTGATTCTTGGCTGTGTGTAACCCTTTTTGGCAGAGTTATGCCCCTTTGAACTTAGAAAATTCTTCAGGAATTTTGTTTTCTGGACTTTCTGGTTATGCTTTGAGTTGTAGAAATGAAGTTTAGTATATGGCTTCTTGTTTGAAAGGTACAGATTAGTTTTGACATCCAGTTCAATTTCTGGTTGACCGTGACACTTTATGCAGGTGACACATACAGTTCTGAGGAACTCTTGTTTCAACTTTTACTAATCATTCTTGTTGGCCCGGTTGTAAGCGCGTGAGGGATCTTATTGTGGGAGGAAACTGGAGTACCCGGGGAAAACCCAGGTGACCCTTACCTTTTCACCTGCCCGACCACGTGTGCCATTTTGTAACATGATTGCACAATCATGATTTTCCTGTACAAGTAGGATTGAGCTCAAACTTGCATACGGTAATATGATCCTGACTAAATGTTGTTATTTTTTGGGCATGTCTGAAATCCAAGATGGCCACCATCTTCAAAATCATATTTTTTAACTTCTACTGGTGCCATTGATCTCAAAAGTGGTGGGAATGTTAAGGAAAGGTAGCGAGGAGGGCCATCTTGTTACATGACTGCACAGTCATGGTTTTCCTGTGCAACACCTGTTTCAAACTTCTTCTCAAGTTTTACCTGTGGGATCATGGAAAACAACTTCTTAGTAAGATTTCATTAAAGAAGAAAAAAAATAACCCTTCTCCCTGCTGAAAGTTTTTGTAGTCAGATGACAGTACAGGCCCATGGGCCTCTTGTTTAAACTTTACTGTAATTTTCATAGAAAACTTGCATTTCAAAGCATAATATTGTTATTTCCCCCTTTGCAATAACTATGGTCTTGTAAAACATTATTTTTTTTGTTTAATTTCAGGACCACGATCATGAGACCTTTCACTTTCTAAGCCTGTGTTCCTGAAGCTGCCCATATGTGACCTTGATATAAGACCTCTAACCTTGGAACTAGTATAGTTATGACCTTCAACTACAAAGCTATCCTTTATAGTCAAAATTTTACTCTTAAAGATCTGATAATGCCCTTGAACCCTGTAAAACTTGTCTTAGAAGTTTTTCTTATCTTGGAGGATCTTTAATGACCTTGAAGGAGTCTTTCTCTGCCTTATTGGGATTTGTAGCCTTGAACACATTACACTGAGAAGATATTTACACTGCCATCATTGAGTTCCTCGAATGCTTGACCCAAAATTTTGGAACCTGTCGGCCAGCTGATAGTGATTATTTATCCAGCGACTGTGAGGATGGTAAAGAAAGAGCAGTTGGATTTTCCAGACAGGGTAAGGATGAGAAAACATCAGTGAGAGTGACCTCCCCTCATAGTGTGGCTTCCTCTACAGATGATGGTGTGTCTATAGATAAACATCTGGATACTTTAAAAACTATGGCTGATCAGGAGGATTCTGACAGTGATACAGTAGGCCCAGTACGTAGAATAAACTCCGCTGCTGGTTTAAATGAGACAGAAAATAAACAGGAAGGACAACAATCATTTGATCCCTACAGAATGTTGGAGCGCTCTCAATCTGAGGCTGTCCTTATCCATAATGTTGAAAATCCTTCTGTGGATGTTATGAGTCTGGAATCCACCCAGTCTTCAGAAGAAGTTGGATGTGAAGGTGCAATGTCCAGTCACCACAATATCTCTGAATGTTCCAAAGTTTATTTCGATTTGTCCAAGGCAGAGGCATATGAGAATCTGTGCGACCGGACTCCAAATTTACTAACAAGGACATCTTCAGGGCGACATCTTGAAACAATCCCCCAGGAAGACGAAACAGATGAATGCGGAAAGTTTAGCCTTAGTGAGAGGTCAATATCAATGGAAAGCACGTCCAGTGAAGACAGAAGTCCCCGAGGTTCTCATATCAGTCTTAAATCTGTTCGAGAGGATAAGGCATTTATTACCACAGGCATGGCTCGAAAGGTCATGAAGGTCAATAAATCCCAGGAACATTTGAGTAAGATTTCGAAGAGCAGCTGGAAAGCAAGCTTCCAGTCATACGCACAAAACTTACGACAAAAAACGAAACAGTTACAGATGGGTTCTATCCAGGAACAGATTCATGCTCTCAGAGAGTTATGTGTCATGATGGAACAAGTCTGGTCAATTCCTACCTATGGCAGAGATTTGGCGTACGGTTTGTGTGACATCATCAAGTCCGAGAAACTACTGGACATTATCATCAAGAACTGTCAGTCCCAGTCCAGGGATCTGTTGAGATCGTCTGCACGACTTTTGGAGAAAGTTCTAACCACAGGTAACCGGCACAAGGTGGCTGATATTGGTCTTGATATCGTTGTCAAGATGACAATTGATGTTAAAGGAGATACTGAAATGGCAAGAGTATCGACAGGAATACTGGAGAGCCTGTTTAAGACGTCTGAAGATGCAAGTTCTCGCTTGATTAAGCTTGGAGGATTGGATGTTGTTCTTTACTGGTGTCGCTGTAATGACCGACTTACTCTAAGACACTGCGCCATTGCCCTCGCAAACCTGGCACTGTACGGTGGCCCCGAGAACCAGGAAATCATGGCAAAGAACAAAGTGCCCGAATGGCTGTTCCCGCTGGCGTTTAATGACGACGACAGTGTACGATATTACGCATGCCTGGCCATATCTGTATTGGTAGCAAATAAAGAAATTGAGGCTGATGTACTGAATTCTGGCACATTGGAGCTTGTTCTCCCTTTCATCAACAGCCACAATCCCGGGGAATTTGCTCGCATGGATCTGTCACATCGTCATGGCCGATCTCGAGGATGGCTGAAGCGATTGGCAGGTCTTCTGTCAAGCAAGAGGGAGGAAGCGCAGGCCTTGGCGGCATTCCATTTCGCTATGGAAGCTGGCATTAAGAGTGAACAAGATAAGAAAGAGGTACTGAATTTGATTTCTGAATTTGTACCCCGTGTCATCTATTTAACAGTATAATTGATTGAAAATTGTTCTTTTTTACCCTGAGCTTTAACATCGGAAAATTAACTTTTCTATTTGTCATATATGCATGACATGTATATTGGTTGTTTCCATGAGACATGATTGTAACACTTGTTCAGCATTGAATACAAATAATCGAGGGAAATATAAAGAAAACTAAGAACATGTTTTTGGTAAAAAGCACCAATCTGTTTACTTATTTCTTACGTAATCTGTTTACTTATTTCTTACGTAATCTGTTTACTTATTTCTTACGTAATCTGTTTACTTATTTCTTACGTAATCTGTTTACTTATTTCTTACGTAATCTGTTTACTTATTTCTTACGTAATCTGTTTACTTATTTCTTACGTAATCTAGTTACTTAGTTCTTACGTAATCTAGTTACTTATTTCTTACGTAATCTGTTTACTTATTTCTTACGTAATCTGTTTACTTATTTCGTAATCGTAATCTGTTTACTTATTTCTTACGTAATCTGTTTACTTATTTCTTACGTAATCTAGTTACTTATTTCTTACGTAATCTGTTTACTTATTTCTTACGTAATCTGTTTACTTATTTCTTACGTAATCTAGTTACTTATTTCTTACGTAATCTAGTTACTTATTTCTTACGTAATCTGTTTACTTATTTCTTACGTAATCTGTTTACTTATTTCTTACGTAATCTGTTTACTTATTTCTTACGTAATCTGTTTACTTATTTCTTACGTAATCTAGTTACTTATTTCTTACGTAATCTAGTTACTTATTTCTTACGTAATCTAGTTACTTATTTCTTACGTAATCTGTTTACTTATTTCTTACGTAATCTAGTTACTTATTTCTTACGTAATCTGTTTACTTATTTCTTACGTAATCTGTTTACTTATTTCTTACGTAATCTAGTTACTTATTTCTTACGTAATCTGTTTACTTATTTCTTACGTAATCTGTTTACTTATTTCTTACGTAATCTGTTTACTTATTTCTTACGTAATCTGTTTATCTTATTTCTTACGTAATCTGTTTACTTATTTCTTACGTAATCTGTTTACTTATTTCTTACGTAATCTGTTTACTTTTATTTTCACAGTTCATTGGTCAAGACTAGTAAATATTTAGCAAATTTTAAAATGTGGCAATTAAATTTTGGGAAAAAATCACAATGAGGACTTTCAGTTTATAAACAAGCCTTTATTTTTAACAAAGTTTGCAGTAATTTTGTAGACAACATTTAATATTGCTCTCTAGATCTCTAATATATGTGATCATTTTTTGTATGTGGTAGGTTTTCTATGAAATTGAAGCTATAGAGCCTCTGAGAAAATTAGCAGGAAGTCCAAACGCAACAGTTTCTAAGCTTGCTGGCGAGGCTTTAAAGATTATAGGCGAAGAGTTACCACACAAACTCACACAACAAGTGCCACTGTGGACCGTGGCAGATGTTTCAGCCTGGGTGGCTCAGGTAAGTGAATATCACCTACAGATGATGTTTGATAAAGATCTAGACAAACTGGTTGTGTTGTATTCAACATCAGTAAACTATAGATGTTTTCTGCATTTGGTGCAGAAGTTCTGTCACTTGGCTTAGCTACTTGTATAACGCAAGATGAACAGCCAAAGTTGGAAAGACTCTGAAGTGTGGCTGCTTCACATTTCTCTGAAGTGTGGCTGCTTCACATTTCTCTGTGTGTGGCTGCTTCACATTTCTCTGTGTGTGGCTGCTTCACATTTCTCTGTGTGTGGCTGCTTCACATTTCTCTGTCTTGGCCTGCTAAAAGACATTGTATATACCTGTGATATACACAAAGTTCTACAGTACCTATCAGATCCATACTGGCTTGTGAGACACGTCTCCTCTATGTACTGTTGTACCTGTAACCCTGCTAAAATGCTAGCCGCAATATACCACTCGGCTAGAGAGAACTTCTCTTTAGCTGGATTGTTCGAGCGTCAGACTAGTAAGCCAGGGGTCCTGGGTTCGACTCCTATCGGAGGCATTGAAATAAATAATGACCTCTGTTACATTGGCGCCCATGTAGGGACCCGGGAATAGTACTTAGCCATGCCCCACCTGCATCGCTGTAACCCCTGGAAACTCAAGGACGAGTTATTTCCCGGAGGGGGAGTATGTAACCCTGGTAAAATACTAGTCGCAATATACCACTCGGCTAGAGAGAACTTCTCTTTAGCTGGATTGGGGTTAATAATAACTTTTGTTTCATATCTCTCAAAGGATATACAAATTATGTTATAATTTTAAAGGGACATCACTGTGTTACTGCATATTTTATAAACTTCCATATACATTTCTATTACATCTATAACATTACGTAATAGTTTTGAAAATGAGGCATTTTGTTTTGTAAACATTAGCACATGATGGCAAGTAGAAATGACAACAACAGTAGTGACACAGTAAGTAGAATCTGTTTTTCAGCACCAGATTTGTTATGGGTCTGACCAATGTTATTTTATATCTCGAAGTTAATTTTAGAATTAAGAAATAAGTGACATTAATTGCCAACATAGTCACTACCAAACTTTACGGCAGAATGCTTATTTGTTTATAGGCAGCAATGTTTTGTATGCATGCGTTATCTACCATATATGACACAAAAATTTACATATCCAGACTGTTGATCAACAGATCAGGATTTCCTTTTCATAAGTATAAATTACCCTCTTTACGTGGATATTTCAGCAAAAACCAAAAATAATTACACAGGATGATACACTTTATATGTCCAACTATGAACTGAGTTATCATTTTATCTTAGATTTATGAAATAGGTCTCAAGAATTCTTCTTTTTTTGCAAGCTTTTGGCTAGTTGAAATGAAAAACCGATGACAATTAAGTTTCTCAAAGAGCATAGGAAACAAAAACAAATCTAAAAACTGTTTTATCACATGGTCCATTAACTTGCAAATATCGCAGAAAAACTGGTTTCTAGAAGACAACATCACTACATGAAACATTGGCCTCCATTGTGATGCATCATTTACGGAACGTGTCATATTACTATGGTAGTGTAAACTATACACACCAGAAGTTTGATGATATTACTATGGTAGTGTAAACTATACACACCAGAAGTTTGATGATATTACTATGGTAGTGTAAACTACAGACACCAGAAGTTTGATGATATTACTATGGTAGTGTAAACTACAGACACCAGAAGTTTGATGATATTACTATGGTAGTGTAAACTACAGACACCAGAAGTTTGATGATATTACTATGGTAGTGTAAACTACACACACCAGAAGTTTGATGATATTACTATGGTAGTGTAAACTACACACAGACACCAGAAGTTTGATGATATTACTATGGTAGTGTAAACTACACACTGACACCAGTGTAAACTACACACACACGAAGTTTGATGATATTACTATGGTAGTGTAAACTACACACAGACACCAGAAGTTTGATGATATTACTATGGTAGTGTAAACTACAGACAGACACCAGAAGTTTGATGATATTACTATGGTAGTGTAAACTACACACACAGACACCAGAAGTTTGATGATATTACTATGGTAGTGTAAACTACACACAGACACCAGAAGTTTGATGATATTACTATGGTAGTGTAAACTACACACAGACACCAGAAGTTTGATGATATTACTATGGTAGTGTAAACTACACAGACACACACTACACACAGACACCAGAAGTTTGATGATATTACTATGGTAGTGTAAACTACACACAGACACCAGAAGTTTGATGATATTACTATGGTAGTGTAAACTACACACAGACACCAGAAGTTTGATGATATTACTATGGTAGTGTAAACTACACACAGACACCAGAAGTTTGATGATATTACTATGGTAGTGTAAACTACAGACACCAGAAGTTTGATGATATTACTATGGTAGTGTAAACTACACACAGACACCAGAAGTTTGATGATATTACTATGGTAGTGTAAACTACACACAGACACCAGAAGTTTGATGATATTACTATGGTAGTGTAAACTACACACAGACACCAGAAGTTTGATGATATTACTATGGTAGTGTAAACTACACACAGACACCAGAAGTTTGATGATATTACTATGGTAGTGTAAACTACACACAGACACCAGAAGTTTGATGATATTACTATGGTAGTGTAAACTACAGACACCAGAAGTTTGATGATATTACTATACACACCAGAAGTTTGATGATATTACTATGAGTGTAAACTACACACAGACACCAGAAGTTTGATGATATTACTATGGTAGTGTAAACTACAGACACCAGAAGTTTGATGATATTACTATGGTAGTGTAAACTACACACAGACACCAGAAGTTTGATGATATTACTATGGTAGTGTAAACTATACACACCAGAAGTTTGATGATATTACTATGGTAGTGTAAACTACACACAGACACCAGAAGTTTGATGATATTACTATGGTAGTGTAAACTACACACAGACACCAGAAGTTTGATGATATTACTATGGTAGTGTAAAGTGTAAACTACACACAGACACCAGAAGTTTGATGATATTACTATGGTAGTGTAAACTACACAGACACCAGAAGTTTGATGATATTACTATGGTAGTGTAAACTACACAGACACCAGAAGTTTGATGATATTACTATGGTAGTGTAAACTACACACAGACACCAGAAGTTTGATGATATTACTATGGTAGTGTAAACTACAGACACCAGAAGTTTGATGATATTACTATGGTAGTGTAAACTACACACAGACACCAGAAGTTTGATGATATTACTATGGTAGTGTGAACTATACACACCAGAAGTTTGATGATATTACTATGGTAGTGTAAACTACACACACCAGAAGTTTGATGATATTACTATGGTAGTGTAAACTACACACAGACACCAGAAGTTTGATGATATTACTATGGTAGTGTAAACTACAGACACCAGAAGTTTGATGATATTACTATGGTAGTGTAAACTATACACACCAGAAGTTTGATGATATTACTATGGTAGTGTAAACTACAGACACCAGAAGTTTGATGATATTACTATGGTAGTGTAAACTACACACAGACACCAGAAGTTTGATGATATTACTATGGTAGTGTAAACTACACACAGACACCAGAAGTTTGATGATATTACTATGGTAGTGTAAACTATACACACCAGAAGTTTGATGATATTACTATGGTAGTGTAAACTACACACTGACACCAGAAGTTTGATGATATTACTATGGTAGTGTAAACTACAGACACCAGAAGTTTGATGATATTACTATGGTAGTGTAAACTACAGACACCAGAAGTTTGATGATATTACTATGGTAGTGTAAACTACAGACACCAGAAGTTTGATGATATTACTATGGTAGTGTAAACTACACACAGACACCAGAAGTTTGATGATATTACTATGGTAGTGTAAACTACACACTGACACCAGAAGTTTGATGATATTACTATGGTAGTGTAAACTACACACAGACACCAGAAGTTTGATGATATTACTATGGTAGTGTAAACTACACACAGACACCAGAAGTTTGATGATATTACTATGGTAGTGTAAACTATGGTAGTGTAAACACACAGACACCAGAAGTTTGATGATATTACTATGGTAGTGTAAACTACAGACACCAGAAGTTTGATGATATTACTATGGTAGTGTAAACTATGGTAGTGTACACACAGACACCAGAAGTTTGATGATATTACTATGGTAGTGTAAACTACATATTACACACAGACACCAGAAGTTTGATGATATTACTATGGTAGTGTAACACAGAAGTTTGATGATATTACACTACAGACACCAGAAGTTTGATGATATTACTATGGTAGTGTAAACTACACACAGACACCAGAAGTTTGATGATATTACTATGGTAGTGTAAACTACACACAGACACCAGAAGTTTGATGATATTACTATGGTAGTGTAAACTACACACAGACACCAGAAGTTTGATGATATTACTATGGTAGTGTAAACTACAGACACCAGAAGTTTGATGATATTACTATGGTAGTGTAAACTACACACTGACACCAGAAGTTTGATGATATTACTATGGTAGTGTAAACTACAGACACCAGAAGTTTGATGATATTACTATGGTAGTGTAAACTACAGACACCAGAAGTTTGATGATATTACTATGGTAGTGTAAACTACACACAGACACCAGAAGTTTGATGATATTACTATGGTAGTGTAAAAAAATAAACACTGACACACAGACACCAGAAGTTTGATGATATTACTATGGTAGTGTAAACTACACACAGACACCAGAAGTTTGATGATATTACTATGGTAGTGTAAACTACACACTGACACCAGAAGTTTGATGATATTACTATGGTAGTGTAAACTACACACAGACACCAGAAGTTTGATGATATTACTATGGTAGTACAGACACCAGAAGTTTATGATATTACTATGGTAGTGTAAACACAGACACCAGAAGTTTGATGATATTACTATGGTAGTGTAAACTACACACTGACACCAGAAGTTTGATGATATTACTATGGTAGTGTAAACTACACACAGACACCAGAAGTTTGATGATATTACTATGGTAGTGTAAACTACAGACACAAGAAGTTTGATGATATTACTATGGTAGTGTAAACTACAGACACCAGAAGTTTGATGATATTACTATGGTAGTGTAAACTACACACAGACACCAGAAGTTTGATGATATTACTATGGTAGTGTAAACTACACACAGACACCAGAAGTTTGATGATATTACTATGGTAGTGTAAACTACAGACACCAGAAGTTTGATGATATTACTATGGTAGTGTAAACTACACAGACACCAGAAGTTTGATGATATTACTATGGTAGTGTAAACTACACACAGACACCAGAAGTTTGATGATATTACTATGGTAGTGTAAACTACACACACACCAGACACCAGAAGTTTGATGATATTACTATGGTAGTGTAAACTACAGACACCAGAAGTTTGATGATATTACTATGGTAGTGTAAACTACACACAGACACCAGAAGTTTGATGATATTACTATGGTAGTGTACAGACACCAGAAGTTTGATGATATTACACTACAGACACCAGAAGTTTGATGATATTACTATGGTAGTGTAAACTACACACAGACACCACAGACACCAGAAGTTTGATGATATTACTATGGTAGTGTAACACTACAGACACCAGAAGTTTGATGATATTACTATGGTAGTGTAAACTACACACAGACACCAGAAGTTTGATGATATTACTATGGTAGTGTAAACTACACACAGACACCAGAAGTTTGATGATATTACTATGGTAGTGTAAACTACAGACACCAGAAGTTTGATGATATTACTATGGTAGTGTAAACTACAGACACCAGAAGTTTGATGATATTACTATGGTAGTGTGAACTACAGACACCAGAAGTTTGATGATATTACTATGGTAGTGTAAACTACACACAGACACCAGAAGATTGTTGTTCATACGATGTTAAAGAAAAAAACAGACACCAGAAGTTTGATGATATTACTATATTACACACAGACACCAGAAGTTTGATGATATTACTATGGTAGTGTAAACTACACACACACCAGAAGTTTGATGATATTACTACACACAGACACCAGAAGTTTGATGATATTACTATGGTAGTGTAAACTACACAGACACCAGAAGTTTGATGATATTACTATGGTAGTGTACAGACACCAGAAGTTTGATGATATTACTATGGTAGTGTAAACTACAGACACCAGAAGTTTGATGATATTACTATGGTAGTGTAAACTACACACAGACACCAGAAGTTTGATGATATTACTATGGTAGTGTAAACTACACACACCAGAAGTTTGATGATATTACTATGGTAGTGTAAACTACACACACAAAAATAGTAATAAAAAAACTATGAAATACAAAAAAACAGACACCAGAAGTTTGATGATATTACTATGGTAGTGTAAACTACAGACACCAGAAGTTTGATGATATTACTATGGTAGTGTAAACTACACACAGACACCAGAAGTTTGATGATATTACTATGGTAGTGTAAACTACACACAGACACCAGAAGTTTGATGATATTACTATGGTAGTGTAAACTATACACACCAGAAGTTTGATGATATTACTATGGTAGTGTAAACTACACACAGACACCAGAAGTTTGATGATATTACTATGGTAGTGTAAACTACACACAGACACCAGAAGTTTGATGATATTACTATGGTAGTGTAAACTACACACAGACACCAGAAGTTTGATGATATTACTATGGTAGTGTAAACTACACACAGACACCAGAAGTTTGATGATACACCAGAAGTTTGATGATATTACTATGGTAGTGTAAACTACAGACACCAGAAGTTTGATGATATTACTATGGTACACACAGACACCAGAAGTTTGTGATATTACTAACACACAGACACCAGAAGTTTGATGATATTACTATGGTAGTGTAAACTACACCAGAAGTTTGATGATATTACTATGGTAGTGTAAACTACACACAGACACCAGAAGTTTGATGATATTACTATGGTAGTGTAAACTACACACAGACACCAGAAGTTTGATGATATTACTATGGTAGTGTAAACTACAGACACCAGAAGTTTGATGATATTACTATGGTAGTGTAAACTACACACAGACACCAGAAGTTTGATGATATTACTATGGTAGTGTAAACTACACACAGACACCAGAAGTTTGATGATATTACTATGGTAGTGTAAACTACACACAGACACCAGAAGTTTGATGATATTACTATGGTAGTGTAAACTACACACAGACACCAGAAGTTTGATGATATTACTATGGTAGTGTAAACTACACACAGACACCAGAAGTTTGATGATATTACTATGGTAGTGTAAACTACACACAGACACCAGAAGTTTGATGATATTACTATGGTAGTGTAAACTACACACAGACACCAGAAGTTTGATGATATTACTATGGTAGTGTAAACTACACACAGACACCAGAAGTTTGATGATATTACTATGGTAGTGTAAACTACACACAGACACCAGAAGTTTGATGATATTACTATGGTAGTGTAAACTACACACAGACACCAGAAGTTTGATGATATTACTATGGTAGTGTAAACTACACACAGACACCAGAAGTTTGATGATATTACTATGGTAGTGTAAACTATACACACCAGAAGTTTGATGATATTACTATGGTAGTGTAAACTACACACAGACACCAGAAGTTTGATGATATTACTATGGTAGTGTAAACTACACACAGACACCAGAAGTTTGATGATATTACTATGGTAGTGTAAACTACACACAGACACCAGAAGTTTGATGATATTACTATGGTAGTGTAAACTACACAGACACCAGAAGTTTGATGATATTACTATGGTAGTGTAAACTACTGACACCAGAAGTTTGACTACAGACACCAGAGTATGATATTACTATGGTAGTGTAAACTACACACTGACACCAGAAGTTTGATGATATTACTATGGTAGTGTAAACTACAGACACCAGAAGTTTGATGATATTACTATGGTAGTGTAAACTACACACAGACACCAGAAGTTTGATGATATTACTATGGTAGTGTAAACTACACCAGAAGTTTGATGATATTACACTACAGACACCAAGTTTGATGATATTACTATGGTAGTGTAAACTACACACAGACACCAGAAGTTTGATGATATTACTATGGTAGTGTAAACTACAGACACCAGAAGTTTGATGATATTACTATGGTAGTGTAAACTACACACAGACACCAGAAGTTTGATGATATTACTATGGTAGTGTAAACTACACACTGACACCAGAAGTTTGATGATATTACTATGGTAGTGTAAACTACACACTGACACCAGAAGTTTGATGATATTACTATGGTAGTGTAAACTACACACTGACACCAGAAGTTTGATGATACACTATGGTAGTGTAAACCAGAAGTTTGATGATATTACACTACACACAGACACCAGAAGTTTGATGATATTACTATGGTAGTGTAAACTACACACAGACACCAGAAGTTTGATGATATTACTATGGTAGTGTGAACTACTCTCACTCGAGCAATAAATATATTCATTAGTAAGTGACTTGTTGGCACATAACGGCACAGTATTGATTACTGCCTTTGCAGGGTAACTAGGCAGTATATCTGCTGTTAATGTCTGTAACATACTCAACAACAACAACCACAATATAAAATTGTTAACAAAGTAGCAATTTAGAATTAAAATCAACATTATTAGGGCAAAACGTGAACAAAGAAAAAGAATTAAACTGAAACTCTTGAAAATATTATTTGGAAAAATATACCAGGTGTTCCAGAAGGTTTAGTGTCTTCTGCTTCATTTGTGTCATTGGCTTTATCCAGACACATTAAAAGCAAACATACTTACATGATTTGGAGGTTGTCAGACATTTCTGTCAAGAAATCAAACTATGTATGAATGTTTTTGTTGACTTCAGAAGAAAATACATCAGTGCTGTAACGGTATAAAGAAAACTGTGTGGTAAACAGGTGCTGTTTTAACATGGAAGCTATGTAAAGATCACTTGAGAAACCTATTGCTGTTCAGTCTGGTATTGATTTTACTTACAGGTTGGGTTTAAGGATATGACTGCTGACTTCGAACGATGTAAAGTTGATGGAGATCTGTTGTTGACGATGACTAAAGAAGACCTAGCGGACAGCATTGGAATGACATGTAAAATTACACAGAAAAGGTTAGTACTGATATAACCCTGATGTGAAGTTCACCAAGACCTGATTGTCAGAGTTGATGTACATGTAGAAACACAAAGGGAAAATGAGAAAATGAAATCCATTAAATTAAATAGATGAAGCTTCTTGGTCTCTTTGAAATCCTATATTTTAAGCCCTTGTCACGTTTACCATTGATACTACCTGGCCAGTCCGTACATTTGTATTGCATCACATCTCATCTCTCTAGTTACTCCACTGCTTCTGATATTTGCATCAATCTTTATATCAACTTTCATTAAGTATCGTAAGAAATTATATGTTGGCCTGGCAAAATGAACAACTTTTTTACAAAACTTAATACCGCTTAATAAATAGGCCTGAGGCATGAATGGTCCCAGAATTCTGATGACATATTATTCTTTAAATTCATACACCTTTTCCAGGTTCCTTCGGGAGTTGACGCACTTGAAGACGACAGCTGACTATAAGTCATGTGACCAGGGTGGGCTTGATGATTGGTTGTCGGAAATGAATCAGGATTATCGCCAGTACATGTACCAGATGATGAAGTCAGGGCTAGACAAACACTATCTCTCCCATGTGTGTGACGATGAACTGATGCGAGACTGTGGTATTAACAACGGAATTCATCGTAAACGTATCATGCAGAAAATCGCAGGTTGGCTAATTGAACGAGCAAAGCAGTTTACATTCCATTAGCTTGAAAATAATTTTTTCCACTGTTTCCTTCTACAATGTTTTATGAAAGTTATGCTTGTAAATCTGTGTTAATATGTCACTTGTGTGCTGCCAATCCCTTTTCCTGCACATCATGGTACTGCCTGTCCACGGTTTGGAAATTCTCAATAAATAGATACATTTGTTATTATGAATGTTTTGAAAACAGACTGATGTTCGATTCTTCGATATTGTAGCTCAATTTATTCATGTCATCTACTTAAGCAAACTTTGCAGCAGTTTTCAAACTAGTTTGCAATAAATTTTCTTGGGTAAGATTTTTTGTTGAAGGGAGATAATCCAAGACAAAGCTTAAATAATGAAAGATTAGATATCAGGTTGATTGACGGATAGTGGAAGAGTCTTACACTGGTGAATTTCAACAACAACTAGTGAATCGGGTGATTTAGCAGTTTTCATGCTGCCTTCATCAACATACACCAGTATTTGTAAAGATCCAATTTACTCAACCCTCGGGTAAGACTTTTACAACACAAACAAAAGTATCAAAAGTGACAACAAAACATCACTTTGTATAAATAGTAATACACGTGTAGAATTTGACCAGACAGGCAGTAAGTATTAACCCCTAAAGATCAACAATATTGATAAATTACCAACTTTTTGGACCGAAATCTTTTGGAAAATGAGGGCCATAATTACACATGTATGTATATGTATGTTTTGTTTTAAGTTTTATCCATTGTCTTTGACAGCCATGAAGGAGCTTCAAATGTTCAGTGACCAGTGTAGTGTAGATTCCGCCGACGGTAGCCTCTTGTCTCGATCCATGGATGTCTTCATTAGTTATCGCCGTGCCAACGGATCTCAGCTGGCAAGGTTAGCTATATCAGAAAAAATTGGATTGCTGTAAATAATTTAGCAATAATTTTGTTTTAGCATTTTTCAGGATGAAAATATTGTGTTTAAATATGATTGTGCTAATTGCAATATTTGATTGCTATTTATAAAACAAATAGTGAATATGCTATTTCATGGCATGCTTATTTGTTGAAATTTGATTGTGCTAAATTCATTGTCTTAATAATAATTCAAAATTGAAATGCAACCATTTACAGTTAAAGAAAGGCCCTCATATAGAGTATTTTCAAATTTGATTGATTCTCCTCGCACAAACCTGGATTACCTTGCTAAGATTCAAGATATCACTAGCATTCAAAATCAATTCAACCCCGAGGGATCCTGACAGTATTTACAGGTTGTTTTAGTGTCATTTCGTCATTAACAATCGTCCTCACGTATAAATATGCAATTTTAAACAGTATATCATGCTTGTATGGTAACAGATATTTTCATTGCCCAATCAAACATTGTGAATTAGAATTAGTTTTATTTTAATTTTTGTGTTTGTTTTGCAGCCTCTTGAAGGTTCACCTACAGCTACGAGGGTTTTCTGTTTTTCTGGACATAGAAAAATTGCGAGCTGGAAAGTTTGATGAAGGACTTCTTAGCAGTGTTAAAATGGCCAAACATTTCATCATTGTCCTGACCCCGAACTCCCTGGACAGGTGTATCGGTGACAACAACCAGAAGGATTGGGTACACAAGGTATGCAAAGTTGGATCAGGGCATTTTTATCCTTGATGTGATTCACATATTTTCAGGTTTTTAGGTCATCTGACCCAAACGGTTGGATTAAGCTCCAATTTTATTGTCAAAAAATTGGTAACACTTGTTACAGTTACCTACTCCTCACCAAAACTACCATCTGCATCATGAAAAACAGCTTCTTAGTAAGACTTCATTCAAAGTAGAAAAAAATAACCCTTCTCCCTGCTGAAAGTTTTTGTAGTCAGATGACAGTACAGGCCCATGGGCCTCTTGTTTTTGTTGTTTTCTCTTTGTTTATGAAATAATACTGCTTCAATCTGCAAATTACCTTCATTTCTCCAAGTGTTTGATTTGACCTCTTTCCTTATATCACACAAGTTAGAGATGAGACATGTTTCAAATTATTTTTACAGGAGATTGTGGCCGCCATTAACAGTGGATGTAATATAATCCCACTGATGGACAACTTTACGTTCCCGCCAGCAGACATGCTTCCAGAGGACATGAGACAGATTGTATTCTTTAATGGAATAAGGTACTGGTGTAGGGTTAATTTAAGTCACAAATTTTGATGAAGAAGATATGAAGATGCATTCAGCATCCTGTTGGTGTCGATGGAGAGAGAAAAGAGTATCACTGTGATATAAAGTCACTATTTTGGTGATGTTTTACTAAAACTTTTGATTTGTTTAAACTTTGGTCCGTGTAACTTTTGACTGAATTGACCATTGACAAGTATAGATTTTTAGGTCATCTGACTTGAAGGGTAACCTATAGTCATTGTGCTTCGTCTGTCGTTGTGTGCCATGTATTACTTCTTCTCAATAACTAAAAGGCCCACGGTGCTGATATTGGACCAACGTTTTAAGGTCACAGGGATCAAATGTGTTGAAATGCTTCAGCACCTTCCTCTCAATAACTGAAAGATCCAGGATGATATTAGTCTTGTAGCATGCTAGGATGTAGGGCTACCAACTTTGTTCATATGAATGACATTGACCTACTTTCAAGGTCACAGGGGTCAAATTTGTTGAAATGCTGAAGCAAATTCTTTTCAATGACATAAAGGCCAAGGGTCTTGATATTGGGCCTGTGGCTTGCTTTTTCAACAAGCAATATGTCTAGAGTAATGGCATATTGTATGTATAAAGAACATGATTTCAAGTTTGCAGAAAATGTCTTGATGAACCAACAATGTTGTCTATGTAAGCTGTAGAGTAATTGAGCCTCTATCATATATGTGTGTTTATAGTCAGATGTCCGTTATGGCCCAATCATCATGTGGTTTGTGACTCAAATTTCCTCTCTCTGACATGATGTTTTGACTCGTTGTTTCTATGACTAGCATGACTTTTGTGTTAAGTGACCTTTGACTCATTATGCAATTTATGACCTTTGATAAATGATATCTACAGCCGTAACTTTTAACTTGAGCTTTACAATCTGTGTCAAGTTAAGATTGTCCCTTGTTGAATGTGACTTTGGCCTTTCACAGATGGATACATGACTACCAGGATGCATGTGTGGAGAAATTGGAGAAGTTTCTCCGCGGTGAAGTCAACACATCCAGCAAAAGGGCTGCCTTGTTCCAGATGGGGTCTTCGACAGAGGGTCCTGTGAAGGGGCCCTGTAAATACAGTTCCAGTGAGAGCACCAGCCCTACTAGTCCTCTATAGTACCTAGCATCTATGTCGCCCACTGATCTAGTCCTCTATTTCCAAAGCAATCGTCTTGAAGATGGATCTCACCAAGTCAGCTGATCTTGTATTTCACACCTCTTCCCACACACTTATCAAATGATAAATGACCTTCACCTCTAAAACAGGAAATTGGTGTTGAAATCTTGCTAAGTATTTCTTGTTTGGCTAAAATGCTATCTTGAGATTTCAAAACAGCTTGCTTGACATGAAATCATGCCATTTTGTGACAAGATCTTAATGCAATCTTGAGCTTTTAAAACAGCTCACTTGCCAGCTGTTTTGTAATTGGCTTATATTATGACCTTTCAACTTTTAAAGAAAAGCCCTATAACATAACCTTGATATTTCAACATATTTTGGCTTTTAAGGAAACACATGCTTAAAACCTTTGATTAGCTGATAATACCATCATTATATCTAAAAATATTTTCATTTTATAAGCTAAATGATGAATGGCTAATTTTTGTCATCTTCATTTAAAATAACTTCGCTATCATTTTTACAAGACTGAAAATATTTTTCATAAAATGAAATTTTGGCAAGATGTGAAATCAGTGTTATCAGTATGTTCCAGTTGATTTATCTTAAATCGACATAAATATCTTCTCAAAAAAAAACAGATAGGTAGATTCAAAATAAGTCTTAGTGATGGCGATCAACTTTTTTTGGAGTATGATTTAATTTCAAGTAGTTTGTAAGTAGAAAAAATCAGAAAAGTCTACAGCAAAGAACTTGTGAGGTAGAAATCAGAAAAGTTTACAACAAAGAACTTGTTGTGAGTTAGAAATCAGAAAAGTTTACAGCAAAGTACTTGTTGTGAGTTAGAAATCAGAAAAGTTTACAGCAAAGTACTTGTTGTGAGGTAGAAATCAGAAAAGTTTACAGCAAAGTACTTGTTGTGAGGTAGAAATCAGAAAAGTTTACAGCAAAGAACTTGTTGTGAGTTAGAAATCAGAAAAGTTTACACAAAGTACTTGTTGTGAGTTAGAAATCAGAAAAGTCTACAGCAAAGAACTTGTTGTGAGTTAGAAATCAGAAAAGTTTACAGCAAAGTACTTGTTGTGAGTTAGAAATCAGAAAAGTTTACAGCAAAGTACTTGTTGTGAGTTAGAAATCAGAAAGGTTTACAGCAAAGTACTTGTTGTGAGTTAGAAATCAGAAAAGTCTACAGCAAAGAACTTGTTGTGAGTTAGAAATCAGAAAAGTTTACAGCAAAGAACTTGTTGTGAGTTAGAAATCAGAAAAGTTTACAGCAAAGAACTTGTTGTGAGTTAGAAATCAGAAAAGTTTACACAAAGTACTTGTTGTGAGTTAGAAATCAGAAAAGTCTACAGCAAAGAACTTGTTGTGAGTTAGAAATCAGAAAAGTTTACAGCAAAGTACTTGTTGTGAGTTAGAAATCAGAAAAGTTTACAGCAAAGTACTTGTTGTGAGTTAGAAATCAGAAAGGTTTACAGCAAAGTACTTGTTGTGAGTTAGAAATCAGAAAAGTCTACAGCAAAGAACTTGTTGTGAGTTAGAAATCAGAAAAGTTTACAGCAAAGTACTTGTTGTGAGTTAGAAATCAGAAAAGTTTACACAAAGTACTTGTTGTGAGTTAGAAATCAGAAAAGTCTACAGCAAAGAACTTGTTGTGAGTTAGAAATCAGAAAAGTTTACAGCAAAGTACTTGTTGTGAGTTAGAAATCAGAAAAGTTTACAGCAAAGTACTTGTTGTGAGTTAGAAATCAGAAAGGTTTACAGCAAAGTACTTGTTGTGAGTTAGAAATCAGAAAAGTCTACAGCAAAGAACTTGTTGTGAGTTAGAAATCAGAAAAGTTTACAGCAAAGTACTTGTTGTGAGTTAGAAATCAGAAAAGTTTACAGCAAAGTACTTGTTGTGAGTTAGAAATCAGAAAGGTTTACAGCAAAGTACTTGTTGTGAGTTAGAAATCAGAAAAGTCTACAGCAAAGAACTTGTTGTGAGTTAGAAATCAGAAAAGTTTACAACAAAGAAGTTGTTGTGAGGTAGAAATCAGAAAAGTTTACAGCAAAGTACTTGTTGTGAGTTAGAAATCAGAAAAGTTTACTGCAAAGTACTTGTTGTGAGTTAGAAATCAGAAAAAAAGTTTACAGCAAAGTACTTGTTGTGAGTTAGAAATCAGAAAAGTTTACAGCAAAGTACTTGTTGTGAGTTAGAAATCAGAAAGGTTTACAGCAAAGTACTTGTTGTGAGTTAGAAATCAGAAAAGTTTACAGCAAAGTACTTGTGACTTAGAAATCAGAAAGGTTTACAGCAAAGTACTTGTTGTGAGTTAGAAATCAGAAAGGTTTACAGCAAAGTACTTGTTGTGAGTTAGAAATCAGAAAAGTTTACAGCAAAGTACTTGTTGTGAGTTAGAAATCAGAAAAGTTTACAGCAAAGTACTTGTGACTTAGAAATCAGAAAGGCTTACAGCAAAGTACTTGTTGTGAGTTAGAAATCAGAAAAGTTTACAGCAAAGTACTTGTTGTGAGTTAGAAATCAGAAAGGTTTACAGCAAAGTACTTGTTGTGAGTTAGAAATCAGAAAAGTTTACTGCAAAGTACTTGTGAGTTAGAAATCAGAAAGGTTTACAGCCATGAATAGAAAGTTTGTTGACAGTGGCCAGGAAATCTGTACAAGGTTTAAAACTTCTGATTTTTATATGATCACTTCCTGTGCCATTTATCATAAACATCAAATATTTAATAAAGTTTGAATACACTTCATTCCATTCAGTAATTTTGTGCTCAATTTGGAGACAAAAATAACTCTTTCTGAACCACAGATAAAAAAGCACAATTTTAAATGTGGTGAATAATATGGAACTGATGATTTCTGATACTGGGACCTTGTACACCATGGGGTAGTATTACCTGGTAAATTTACTTATTTTTGTCAAAATTTAAAATACATAAGTATTAAGATGTGTTTAACCTTCAATGGAATTTCTGTTTGTGTTTGTATGGTACAATCATTGCTGTGTCATCTGTGTTTAATAAGCTGCTTCTGGATTTTAAGAGTTTATCAAAATCTCATGTGTTTATGTGAAACATACGGTATTTACTGATATCTGTATGAGATGAGGATTTACTAAGTATGAATAAGTCACGCTGTCAACCATCTTAACTACAGTGTGCTATATAGTGTTGTCTGTGGGGTATCAATACTGGTGGTCATTGTTTAAAGTGTAATTAGATACCCTGTAAATATTATCCCCGGAAATCTTATAATGATACAGCAGAGACAAATCTAAGGTTTTTTAACCTGTAATTGTAAAAGTTGATGGGACTCAAAACATTTCTGGAAATACTTAGATTTTATACAGAAAAACCATAAACCCATAATTTTTTGGCAATAAAGTTGAAAAGGACTCAAGAAAATAAGTTTTAGATTGATAACTGTACAGTATACATCTTTGTACCAAATATTCTTCTCTATGATTTCTGCAATATATGCATATTCCTACAATAAAGAGAGCCATGTTACCGAAGCATAGAGCTTACAGCAAATCCAGTGATATCAGCACATAACTTGTCGAGAGTGTACCACCTAATGATTTACAATCTATAATGTATGTGCTTTAAGGTTTCTTGTTTGTCCCGACTGCATCAAGGTGTGTGTACTGGTGCATTAATTGTTGTCAAGTCAAGGTCACAACAAGAAGGGTCAAAGTTCAAGTCACTGTCTTGGACCATTATTTCTGATCCACTACAAATCCAGCGAAACTTCGTTAATTTTGATTTGATTGAATTTGTCTGAAATTATCGTTTCATGAACAAATATATTGTACCATAAATATCGATGATCTCAACCCCTCATCTCCAACCCCTTAACTTCTCGTCACCACCACCCCTCCCCCACCCCCCACTTACCCCCACTCAACCCCACTTCCAGCATACCATGAGCTCAAGGACACAGTAAGGGATTGCATCAGATACAAAGCGTATTGCAACTTCTGTGATCCTTCCAGAGAGAAAGTTCAACAGAGAGGATGGGTCGGGGGGAGAAGTATTATTTACAAGTTCCAGCTTTTCCTGCTTCTATTTTAAGGAATAGCTGAAATTGTCCATAAGTTTGATAGTATATGTTGATAATAGAAGTCCTAGCAACGTAAAGTACATGGATCGTAAAAATCGGACAACTAAATTTGACATAAAATGGCCATCACATCTTTTGAAGTATACAGCCTTTAATCATGTATTTTAATCGATAGAAACTGAAGACTTGAAAAAACTTATTTAAATTGAAGATGTCTGTTAATATGTGTAATAGTGTATTTTTTGCCCACCATCTGAAATATAATTGCTCTGTGTCGGTGGTCCATCTGTCCATCGTCCGTCTGTTCATTGACTGTTTTTGTTATCACTATTTCTTGAAAAGTCCTGTATAGATCTTTCTCAAATTTCATGTATAGGGTTCTTTAGGTCCTTTGTTGTGCCTTTTTGAGTTTGGGACTGATCGAAAAACAAAATGCCGTCTTGGATTTTGCCTAGTAAAGATTGTTATTGCTTTTTCTGAAGAAGTACTGAATGGTTATCTCTCAAATTTATTAGGTATGTTTCGTTTGGTCACACCTTGTGCTTGTTTGCTTTTTGGACTGACTAGAAAAAACAAAATGGCTTCCTGGTGGCCATTTTGGATTTTGCAGGTAAACGATTATCATTTATTTCTGCAAAGGAATGTTCAAATATCATACCATTAAGAGAAAACAGAGAAGATAAAAGAAAGGAAAAGATCCAACTTTAAAAGGGTATAAAGATCAAACAGTGGTGGGCACCTCTCTCTAGGACCTCTTGTTTAAGATTTTGTTTCACTGTATAAATGACAGGGCATTTGACAATTTCTCCTGTAATTTGGGCAAAATATTCTGCAATGTACTTAATTTACAGTTTATAGTTTCCACTGGTTTTATTGATATTTTGTCTAATCAGCATTTTTGTTTTATTTTGTCTCCCACTTTGTATTTTTTTAAAGTATTTATATATTCTGTGCAATAGTATGAAATGCATTAATTTTTACCTGATTTTAACCAGTCTCGTCTTTTAACCACACAGGGGCTAGGATATATCTTTAGTTACATGAGCAATGTCTTTATATAGGTCAAGGTCATATTTGTGTTTCTTGTCAGTCATGTCATAGTGTGTATTTGTGTACTCAGAGTGTCTGTTTTTAGTTAGAATCTTCATGAATCTTGAGATTTATTGCTCTGATAAAGAAGTTTTTAGAATATCTTTATACATAAACAAAATCCTAAACGTTAAGTTCTTCAAAGTTTTTGAAATATTTAAAGTGGTCCAGAACCATTTGAATTGTTAAAACAATGGAAAAATCTGTCTTACAATTTGAACACTAAATAAACAATCACGCCATGTTTTTGATTAATGTACCATATACAGTACACTGATATTTGTTACCAAGAATATTAATTCAATGTAAATCTATTTTAAACTTCACGGTTATGACCTTGACTTTAACTTAGCATAATACAGAGGCCTTCACAAACCAAACTCTTAGTAAATACTCACATGGACATGTTTGGAAACCTCTTCATTCTGGTGTCAAGCACACATTATAACAGATTTCAAAAAAGAAACGTCTGGAAGTTGACAAATTACCAGAGGTCAGTATATTGTGTATGAAGTCATATCTAGTCCCTGTGCTGATACTAGTCTATTAATTTATCTACAAATTATGATGTTTTTCCTCATTGGTTTTTAACTTTTGTTAAATTGTTTTCATGTTATAAATCATTGTTTTAGATAAAATGTTTATTATTTTATCAAGTATTCCAGCATAATAAAAACCAGTGAACGTTGTTTACACCTTTAGCTTACACTCAACAGTGTTTGTCGTTTTTTGTTACAACTTAAGGAGGTATGTTACCTTATTATTACTAATATATTAACTTCTTTTACGAAAGAGTTTCACAGGAATGTCTTTGATGAATGGCTATTTAGAAATTGTGCACGGTTTAACAAATCATTCTTAATAAGTACAGTGTAAATGAATCAGTTAGTGATACCACTTATTTGAATAAGTGATAGAAATCTTTTGTAAAAGTACTTGTATAGTTGAAACTCGAAATTGCTCGAACCGAAATTCCGTTTGAGTCGAAATAATGTTCAAGTCCCGATTTCTTTCCTTTGTAATTTTAGTTCGGGGGATTCGAATTTCATTGAGTCGAAGCGATTTTTCACTCTCGTCAATTTTAAAGCAAAGGAAAAGTCATTCGATGTCTCTAAATTAATTTTTGTCAAAAGATCGACCCGTCTTCTGATGAAACCAGTCAATACATACACACAGTAGAAAGCCACCAGTGCGTAACACATGGCTAGTTACGCCGTATCGATCCATCGTACATACAACACGTGGTCTCTGACAATTAAATACCAGTTTATTTATCCAATTAAAGGTTGGCTTCTTAATTAGTGTCACCATCCCGTATCAGTGATTTACCTGTACGTTGAAAAAAAGTAGCGCGTTTATACGAAACATGAAAACATTTAGCTTGGTTGTTTGTTCAACTTCAGGAATGATAAAAACGAAACCCTTAACCCAGTACAAACTTTTGTATGAAATCGGATCCCAACAATTCTGAGATGAACTAATTTTGAGGTTGTTTAATCAAGGACTGTGATCGGGAATTTAGATTTAGTGTTTGGACAATGAAGTGCTGAACGTATATTTCATTGATATAGTCTCTATCTATGCGTGATTTGTTAAGTCTAGTGCTACAATGTTTTCTGTAACAGGTAAAAACTTTCTAGTGCCGTTTTTTAGCCCACCATCTAATAGATGGTGGGTTATTCAAATAGCCCTGCGTCCGTGGTCCGTCGTCCGTAAACAACTCTTGTTACCGCTATTTCTGGAAAAGTACTGGATGGATCTTTCTCAAATTTCATATGCAGGTTCCCCTTGGTCCCTAGTTGTGCGTTGTACCTTTTTTGGACTGATTCGAATTCAAGATGGCCGACAGGTGGCCATCTTGGATTTTGGAAGTAAAAATTTGTTACTGCTATTTCTTGGGAAGTACTGGATGGATCTTTCTCAAATTTCATATGCAGTTTCCCCTTAGTCCCTAGTTGTGCATTGTACCTTTTTTGGACTGATTCGAATTCAAGATGGCCGACAGGTGGCCATCTTGGATTTTGGATGTAAACGTTTGTTACTGCTATTTCTTGGAAAGTACTGGATGGATCATTCTCAAATTCCATATGCAGTTTCCCCTTTGTCCCTTGTTGGACATCTTGGATTTTGAATGTAAAAGTTTGTTACTGCTATTTCTTGGAAAGTACTGGATGGATCTTTCTCAAATTTCATATGCAGGTTTCCTTTGGTTCCAAGTTGTGCATTATACCTTTTTGGACTGATCCGAAATCAAGATGGCTGACAGGCAGCCATCTTGGGTTTTGAGAGTAAAAGTTTGTTACCGCTATTTCTGGAAAAGTACTGGATGGATCTTTCTCAAATTTCATATGCAGTTTCCCCTTAGTCCCTAGTTGTGCATTGTACCTTTTGTGGACTGATTCGAATTCAAGATGGCCGACAAACAGCCATCTTGGATTTTGGATGTAAAAGTTTGTTACTGCTATTTCTTGGAAAGTACTGGATAGATCTTTCTCAAATTCCATATGCAGTTTCCCCTTTGTCCCTAGTTGGACATCTTGGATTTTGAATGTAAAAGTTTGTTACTGCTATTTCTTGGAAAGTACTGGATGGATCTTTCTCAAATTTCATATGCAGTTTCCCCTTGGTCCCTAGTTGTGCATTATACCCTAGAAATCAAGATGGCTGACAGGCAGCCATCTTGGATTTTGAGAGTAAAAGTTTGTTACCGCTATTTCTGGGAAAGTACTGGATGAATCTTTCTCAAATTTCATATGCAGTTTCCCCTTGGTCCCTAGTTGTGCATTGTACCTTTTTGGACTGATTTGAAATCAAGGTGGCCCACAGGCACCCATCTTGGATGTCGACAGTAATACAGCACAAGCATATTGTCCATTATCCACCTGTAACTGACTGCTATCTAATAATACGTTGGGATCTTTTTCAAATGATATTTGCTAATAGGTGCTTAATAAAAATATCTTGTGCCATCATTGAGTACATTCAATGAAGACCAGTTCATGAACATTTACAACACCTGTAACAAACAAAAAAAAATAAACAAATCTTCAAGAACTGAAAACAGATCCTCAAATGGTGGGCGCCAAGATCCCTCTGGGATCTCTTGTTTTATATATGTATATTCATTGGTATGAAGTCATATTGCTAAGATCTGTAGCTTCATACACCATTCCCACACACCCTATAGTATACATTACACAAGTATTACAATATAAATTGACTCTTTCTGTATGTGTTAACATTCTCCTTGAAGGATGTATCTTCCTTACAAAAGCACACCTTTGCTTTAATTCTTTGTTACTGGTTGGTGACATTGCCTTTCACTTGTGATTTCTAATGTGAATGACACTCATATTTAGTGTCCCTAGATCATACCACATATCGACCGGATGCAATTTACGCTAACTATTTAAAAATTCAATAAACGGATTAAAAAGCCTGTTGGAACCACGCATATAGATTATAATTATGCACAGAAAAGAACGGAAATAAATTGATAAATACCAGACTAAAAACAAGTTTACAAGCCTGCACAAAAACCTCAAGAGTGTATAGAAATCCAGCAGACCGCGAGCATAGCATGTCCAAATTCTTAAAAGCGATTAGGAATACAGGGACAAAAAGAACACTATTTTCAGTAGCTTTGTTCATGTGACAACCCTGGCTTACCAGGAAAATCATTCTTAGCTTCGTATTGAAGACTTGTTGAAATACTGCCTTTGTATTCTTTATATACAAAACAGGAAAAAATCTTAGATGCGGTGTTTCAAACTATTCATTTCAAAATACACTTTTTTAAGAATCCTAACGAAATCAGACTGCAAAGTTATGTCGAGTATTATATTTTGTAAATTGTGATAATCAAATTTGGTTTCCGTACTCGTTCAACTAATTGCTTTTAACTAATTCTATATTTTATCATTGTGTATCATGGGAAAGGTAACGTATATTGAACGTATGTAAAACAGATCCACTACACCAAAACCCATTAGCTTCAAAATCTTCCGATGTTTCAGCTTTATTTTTCCTTTTATTTTTGTGCGAAAACATTGTTACGTAGTTGGGTTTTTTCACTTGAACACATCTCAATATTGCTTTTATTCGTTGCATTGAATTTTAAGTGGAACATCACCATGTATGCTAATGACTTCTGGAAAACAATATGAGAAATTCACCTAAGTGAGAAGGTGGGCGTGTCTTTGTCTCAAAATGGAACGTAACTTTGGTCAAAGTGTACAACATATTTAAATATTCAGACAAGATTTTACCCAATAAAACCGGTCAACGCTAGATCAGATACTACATATTATAAAAAAGTAATTAACAAGGACTAGAAAGGTTAGCTTTTAATCTGCGAGCACATACAACTGCAGATTTACTTATTACCTTTTCATTTTCTATTAAACCTTTTTTCATTATTATTGTTTTAGTGGGTGTGTGTGTGTGTGTGTGTGTGTGTGTGTGTGTGTGTGTGTGTGTGTGTGTGTGTGTGTGTGTGTGTGTGCGCGCGCGCGTGCGTGTGTGTGTGTGTGTGTGTCATAATTAAAACATGTACACGCCCATTTCACTGTTCGCTATACCATGTCCTAAGCATACAACACGTTGTTATGTTAACCTATTAGATGTTTTGCCATTGACAGCAGTCAGTGTTTTGTCAAGGTGAATTGGAGACTTATCTACAAATGACCTGTTCTTGACTGTAACGACAGCTGTTGCCTACATGTTTGTCTAGTTTTCATCAATTGCATCAGTATTGCAACAATCACTGACTCTAGTGTGAATTTCTCAGTCTGTAACAGTAAGATCTGATCATTTTCAGAGAACATATTTAAACGATAGGGTAACGTGATACTCAGAATCATAAATTCTACGTTAACTATAGAATTTAGCTAGAAGACGTTATATAGCACAAGGTTATATTTCAGCTGTTTATAAAACAAGATGTATTTATGAAACACTATGATCTTGCTTGCAACATACTTCTGAAGTAGTGCGAAAAACTCATTTGTAATGCACGTGCTAATTTCATGCACACTTTGTGAAACACTTATGTCTTCATTGTGGTAATGATATTTTTACTTCATCACAAATGTAGGTCAAAGGCCACGGTCAAGATCACTCGGTTAGGAAATTTGGTACCAACAGAAAAGTCTTGTCACAAGGAAAGACATGCAAAATATGAAACCCCTGCTTCCTACAGTGCAATAACTAGGGGAGAAACTTCGAAGTTGACAAAAGACTAGCAAACATATTGGTTTCATGTTCGAACGATTCTCGCATGAAATGAAATTGAAAATTAACATGTGATCTCCCTTCAATAAAATATAATATGATTATTTATCAAGAAAAATATATTGGAATACGAGTAGAGCCAAGTGGAGAAAAGTGAAAGGCTGATAAAATATTGTGTGTACAAATACATTCAAAATTGACTTTCCGATAATCATATCTTATATTTATCTACAAATGTATTTTACTGTGTCGAACAATTCTGAGTTACTTCCCTTCGACCGTGAAGCATTGACTACGGTGTATGGTACGGTGCAGAACAACACTGAAACAACGGTAACTGCTGAACAGAACGACAAGTTTGAAATTGCTTTCTTTCCTTTTGTAAGTTTACCTGAAAATAGTTTTGCTCTAGTCCACATCTCCAGAAAACGAATTATTACCAAGCTGTATTATAACCCAACAGCAAGACTGTTTCCAACTT